TGTATCAATATTGTGATTTTCTTTCTTCTTTTTAATGATAATGTTATTAAGCTTATCGGACGATATGAAAAGAATTTACATAAAATAAATAGACAAAACTTGTCTATATTATTTAATGAAACATGCATATTATTTCAAGATTTTAAATAACCTTTGAAATAAGAAAATTGAATAATTTCTTTCTTTTGTGTAACATTTGCTTTTGAACTGCACCATCTTGATAACTGTGTCCAGCTTGCTGGTAATTGTAGGGGTAGGAACTTGCATATGAATCTACCCTTCTCCATCATGTCCTATAAATAATTATTTGGTGGCCACACCATTCATTGGAAGTCTCAAATCAACTTGGGTTTCAGAACACAGTATATTATCCTGTTAGGGCAACCCATAATTTTTTTTTGGTGGGGGGTACATGGAGCCTATGAATGGGTACAAATGGTCATGAAATAGTGCAATATAGTCACTGGTCAATCAGATGTTTAGGTATATCAAACCCATGCCATGAGAGCACCATGCACACCATTATGAAACCACCACCAGTCTTTGCCATACCTTGTTGACAGCATTGGTCCATAATCTTCTGGGGCCTGTGCATACCTGAACATGTACAACCTTGACTCATTGGATGCTGTGTGACATCATCCAATTTGTTATGTTATGAGTTCAAGTGAGATGCTGGTTCCAGTGTTGTGTTAACAGGAACATCACGGTGGGTCTTCTGTACCCATATCCCAGGGAAGATAAAAACACTTAACTGAACTGCTGGATATGCACCTGGTGCCTCATGCATAAAATCTAGATATGATTTGAGTCAGTGTTGCTTGTCTGTTACCACAGATAATTCTATCCAGCCACTTCTGCCCATGATCATTAAAGTAGGCCACTGTACTGGTCAATAGTAATGCCTTCCATCATCTATACCTAGTACATATTTGACACTGTAGATTGAGGGATGTCCTCACAGTTTCAGAAATGAGAATCTCCATCTATTTGTCATTCACTATCCTACCTCATTCAGACTTCAATAATTGGACTTGCTATAAACAGTTTAGCCAGTGTTCCCATTGAATCACCAGATGTTAAAGCTCACCTGATATAGGTCTAAGTATTCTTATGATGTCAATAATTAGACGTGCCATCTACCTTTACTGTTACATATTCATATTCTATAATTTTGGCATATTTGTATACTGGGAATAAAGTATTGTTTTTTTTTGTTTTGTTTTTTTTTTTTTTATATAAATTCATTGTTTGTGCAAGGTCATAAAATGCAAAAAAACATAACATTTTATATATATATATATATATATATATATATGGCTTAAATAGTAGGGTATACTGGGTTCTTCAGCCTTGGGTGGCAATCAGAGGAATCACTTTGAATTAAAAACCAGAAACTGGCATTATCACCAGTCACTTTGAGACTTCTTGTCACTGGGTTATGGCTGTTTGAAGAGCAGCATTCATATTGCACAGGTGTCTATCACTGTAACATCTCTGACTTACAGGTACTTTCCTACATCAAAGAAAGTGGTCATACTCAGAATAGAGTAGACAGCCATTTTTTTATATATATATATATATATATATATATATATATATATACATACACAAGTCTCTCAATTAGTGTGGGTAACTTGTACATCAGTAATTATAAAAAAAACAATTACTATAGTAAAACTGAATGTTTTACTGCATTAGTTGAGTATTATATATGTACTAAACGAATTTTGGTATATAAAAATTTTTGCACACTAATTTTAAATGCATTAATCAAGGGATGTATGTGTATATAAGTACTTATATATATATATATATATATATATAACTTATGAATTATATATTAGTTTAAGTACTTGCCTACACAATATTAGAGATCAAGACTGAGTTTACAGAATATAATAAAAGTAGAATTCTTTCTTGTTGCAACAATGATGAGCTGGTAAAATTGCCAGAATCAAGTTATCAACAAACTGCTGGAGATTATATATATATATATATATATATATATATATATATATATATATATATATATATAAATAAAAGAATAAAAATGGACACGCAAATATTGGTTTGATAGAAGAGTTATATTCCTGTTTTCTTTATGAATTAGAAGGTGAAAGAAAGACGAAGCAATGTCAAGCATGTAGACATATTCAAGGTCACAGTGTGTGGCAGGAATTGGTGGTTGGGGAGCATATTTAGGAGTTGCTGTATTTAAAGTTCTGCTGTTTATGATGTGAAAAAGATGGTAAGGACTTGGTGATATCTTAGATGACTGGAGTCTGAGAAGGCCAAGAATGAAGAAGCTCTTTGTTGCCAAAATGTACAAGATATCATCATTATATGAAATGAGTGTCTGTTCCACCAACATCTGACATGTTGTTTATATTCACTAAATCTAAACATCCCCATTGTCAGTCTGACATCCTACACATCTATTTTTCCATATCTATCACACAGACGTCACTCACATATATTCCTCCTCTCTGACTTAGTGATGTCTCATGTGTTCCACTTCTCTCTCTGGAGTAACTCTTTCCCATCTTTCTCTGGTGTGCATTCCTTCTCCTCGCTCCCTCTCTCTGGTGTGCATTCCTTCTCCTCGCTCCCTCTCTCTGGTGTGCATTCCTTCTCCTCGCTCCCTCTCTCTGGTGTGCATTCCTTCTCCTCGCTCCCACTCTCTGGTGTGCATTCCACTCTGCTCCCACTCTCTGGTGTGCATTCCACCCCTACCTCTCTCTCCCTTTGTTGTGCATTCCTCCCTCTCTGTTGTGCATTCCTCCCCTCCCCCTCTCTGTTGTGCATTCCTCCCCTCCCTCTCTCTGGTGTGCATTCTTTCTCTCTCTCTCTCTCTCTCTCTGGTGTGCATTCTTTCTCTCTCTCTCTCTCTCTCTCTCTCTGGTGTGCATTCTTTCTTTCTCTCTCTCTCTCTCTCTCTCTGGTGTGCATTCTTTCTCTCTCTCTCTCTCTCACTCTCTGGTGTGCATTCTTTCTCTCTCTCTCTCTCTCTCTCTGGTGTGCATTCTTTTCTCTCTCTCTCTCTTCTCTCTCTCTTCTCTCTCTCTCTCTCTGGTGCATTCTCTTCTCTCTCTCTCTCTCTCTCTCTCTCTCTCTCTCTGGTGTGCATTCTTTTTCTCTCTCTCTCTCTCTCTGGTATGCATTCTTTCTCTCTCTCTCTCTCTGGTATTCATTCTCTCTCTCTCTCTCTCTGGTAGCCATTCATTCTCTCTCTCTCTGGTGTGCATTCTTTCTCTCTCTCTCTCTCTGGTGTGCATTCTTTCTCTCTCTCTCTCTCTCTCTGGTGTGCATTCTTTCTCTCTCTCTCTCTCTCTCTCTGGTGTGCATTCCTTCTCCTCTCTCTCCACTCTCTGGTGTGCATTCCTCTGCTCCCTCTCTCTGGTGTGCATTCCACCCCTACCTCTCTCTCCCTTTGTTGTGCATTCCTCCCCTCTCTGTTGTGCATTCTTTCTCCTCCCCCTCTCTGTTGTGCATTCCTCCTCCTCTCTCTCTGGTGTGCATTCTTTTTCTCTCTCTCTCACTCTCTGGTGTGCATTCTTTTTCTCTCTCTCTCTCTCTCTCTGGTGTGCATTCTTTTTTCTCTCTCTCTCTCTCTCTCTCTCTGGTGTGCATTCTTTCTCTCTCTCTCTCTCTCTCTGGTGTGCATTCTTTTCTCTCTCTCTCTCTCTCTCTGGTGTGCATTCCTTCTCTCTCTCTCCTCTCTCTCTGGTGCATTCCTTCTCCTCTCTCTCTCTCTCTGGTGTGCATTCCTTCTCCTCTCTCCCTCTCTCTGGTGTGCATTCCTTCTCCTCGCTCCTCTCTCTCTGGTGTGCATTCCTTCTCCTCGCTCCCTCTCTCTGGTGTGCATTTTTTTCTCTCTCTCTCTCTCTCTCTCTGGTGTGCATTCCTTCTCCTCTCTCCCTCTCTCTGGTGTGCATTCCACTCTGCTCTCTCTCTCTGGTGTGCATTCCACCCCTACCTCTCTCTCTCCCTTTGTTGTGCATTCCTCCTCTCTGTTGTGCATTCCTCCCTCCCCCCTCTCTGTTGTGCATTTTCCTCCTCCCTCTCTCTGGTGTGCATTCTTTCTCTCTCTCTCTCTCACTCTCTGGTGTGCATTTCTTTCTCTCTCTCTCTCACTCTCTGGTGTCTCATTCTTTCTCTCTCTCTCTCTCTCTCTCTCTCTCTCTCTCTCTCTCTCTGGTGTGCATTCTTTTTCTCTCTCTCTCTCTCTGGTGTGCATTCTTTCTCTCTCTCTCTCTCTCTCTCTCTGGTGTGCATTCTTTCTCTTCTCTCTCTCTCTGTCTGGTATGCATTCTTTCTCTCTCTCTCTCTCTCTCTCTCTGTCTGGTATGCATTCTTTTCTCTCTCTCTCTCTCTCTCTCTCTCTCTCTCTGGTGTGCATTCTTTCTCTCTCTCTCTCTCTCTCTCTCTCTCTCTCTCTCTGGTGTGCATTCTTTCTCTCTCTCTCTGGTGTGCATTCTTTCTCTCTCTCTCTCTCTGGTGTGCATTCTTTCTCTCTCTCTCTGGTGTGCATTCTTTCTCTCTCTCTCTCTGGTGTGCATTCATTCTCTCTCTCTCTGGTGTGCATTCTCTCTCTCTCTGGTGTGCATTCTTTTCTCTCTCTCTCTCTGGTGTGCATTCTTCTCTCTCTCTCTCTCCATTCCTTCTCTCTCCTCCCACTCTCTGGTGTGCATTCCACCCCTACCTCTCTCTCCCCTCTTGTGCATTCCTCCCTCTCTGTTGTGCATTCCTCTCTCCCCCCTCTCTCTGGTGTGCATTCTCTTCTCTCTCTCTCTCTCTCACTCTCTGGTGTGCATTCTTTCTCTCTCTCTCTCTCTCTCACTCTCTGGTGTGCATTCTTTCTTTCTCTCTCTCTCTCTCTCTCTCTGGTGTGCATTCTCTCTCTCTCTCTCTCTCTCTCTCTCTGGTGTGCATTCTCTTTCTCTCTCTCTCTGGTGTGCATTCTTTCTCTCTCTCTCTCTCTCTCTCTCTCTCTCTGGTGTGCATTCCTTCTCTCTCGCTCCCACTCTCTCTGGTGTGCATTTCCTCTGCTCCCTCTCTCTGGTGTGCATTCCACCCCTACCTCTCTCTCCCTTTGTTGTGCATTCTCCCTCTCTCTTTGTGCATTCCTCTCCTCCTCCTCCTCTCTGTTGTGCATTCCTCCCTCCCTCTCTCTGGTGTGCATTCTTTTTCTCTCTCTCTGGTGTGCATTCTTTCTCTCTCTCTCTCTCTCTGGTGTGCATTCTTTCTCTCTCTCTCTCTGGTGTGCATTCTTTCTTCTCTCTCTCTCTCTCTCACTCTCTGGTGTGCATTCTCTCTCACTCTCTGGTGTGCATTCTTTCTCTCTCTCTCTCTCACTCTCTGGTGTGCATTCTTTCTCTCTCTCTCTCTCTCTCTGGTGTGCATTCTTTCTCTTTCTCTCTCTCTCTGGTGTGCATTCTTCTTTCTCTTCTCTCTCTCTCTGGTGTGCATTCTTTCTCTCTCTCTCTCTCTGGTGTGCATTCTTTCTCTCTCTCTCTCTCTGGTGTGCATTCTTTCTCTCTCTCTCTCTGGTGTGCATTCTTTCTCTCTCTCTCTCTCTCTGGTGTGCATTCTTTCTCTCTCTCTCTCTCTCTCTGGTGTGCATTCTTCTCTCTCTCTCTCTGGTGTGCATTCTTTCTTCTCTCTCTCTCTGGTGTGCATTCTTTCTCTCTCTCTCTCTCTCTGGTGTGCATTCTTTTCTCTCTCTCTCTCTCTCTGGTGTGCATTCTTTTTCTCTCTCTCTCTCTCTCTCTCTGGTGTGCATTCTTTTTCTCTCTCTCTCTCTGGTGTGCATTTCTTTCTCTCTCTCGAGTTAAGCATTGTTCTCTGCTATTAAGGCCTTTACTTTTGCGAAACACGTGTGAAGTTAGTTTGATTTTTCAATTTCAACTGAGAAGGGTACCTACAAGTATCAGTATCATCTTATGAAATTTATATGATCTTATTTTTATATTAATGTCAGTTACGACATTTTTCCATAAATGAAATATCAAAATTAATAATAAAATGAATGCAAATACAAATAACAGTAGAATGTAATAAATGTACATAAAATTATAGTATTTTATGTACAATTCTGATAAAATTTCATAAGAAAGGTACCTATAAATTAATTAGATACCTTTCTTAAGAAATATGAAATTTAATGTCACTCTTAACAGTTTTATTTTAATTTCTTTACAATATATTTCCCATAAAGCATCATAAACGTAAAGGTGAAAGCTAAGTACAAAAAAAAAAAAAAAATTAGACCGCTGAAAGTTTTTGTTAAAAATAACGGGTAAATAATTTGTTCACGTAAATGTAAATTATTTCACTTTTCTCCTTCCGTAGAACAAATTAGCCTCATAGAATTCGTAAATATATCATTCATCACATGTCAAGAGACACGAAAGTTTATGACCTGCTTTGTTTTATTTTCAAATTACATCTTTTTTGGCTAAGCTTAAGTTTGGTTCAAAAAAAAAATAAACATTATAAGTTTGATTTTCTTAAAATAAGTTTTGCTGACTAAAAAAACTAGAGATTTCAGTTTTTTTTAACGAAAATTTTGGACTCAAAAAAACGATTTTTTAACGAAAGGAACGATTAAAAATGGAAAAAAATATTCTAAAAATACTTTGACCTTTCCTCTTAATAATATCAAACATTCAGACGATAAAATTTTGTTTTTCGTCAAGTTTGGCGTCTTTTTCATCATGCTATGCTCTTTTTTTAGCGATCTCGTGGAGGTACCTAACCTTAGCGTTCATTAAAATGTGAATAACACACAAGGTCTGTCTGAAAAGCAACTGGATTTATTCAATTTATTTTAGTTCGAAACAACAAACTACAGAATTACCCCTTGAGTTTAATGTACTTTTCCATCCTTCCCTGCCACACTTCTATGTGCTGCTGGAAGGATTCTTCTTGGATATCCCTCAATTGCATTGTTACAGACCTCTTAATGGCCTTCATGCCTTCAAGACTGCTTCCATGATGATCCCTTGAGCTTGGGGAAAAGAAAAGTCACAGGAAACAAGATCAGTTGAATAGGGAGGTTGTTCCCATACCTTGATATTCTCAGCCAGGAACTGCCAGATGCTCAGGACATTGTGAGCAGGTGTATTATCATAGTGAAGCAACCACAATTTGTCTTGCCACAACTCTTGCATGTGAAAAAAAAAATTCAATTGTTGCAGAAAGCCAATATTTATTACAGTTATATACTGACAAGATATCATGTCAGATGATAACACAATCCACTTATCCCTCTTTCATCCATAACTCAGCACGTCCAGTGCTATTACTTTTTAGACAGATCATGTATATATTTATATATACCTGCTATATTACCTATATGTTTAGTCTTCAATAAATTGAAACATATTTAAGGAGTTTTACTTTATATTCTATCCATGTAGTTGTTCTATTTCGTGTATGAAATGTTTATGCAAATGGGCCAACTATTAATGGAACAGTGGTAGTATTATTTACATTAGAGTGTGAAATAGCAGCCTGTCCATTGGCAAATTGATATAAACTGATTGTAATGCTCCCAAACCACTAATTCCTGCTACATGCCGTGACCTTGAATATGTCTACGTGCTTGACATTTCTTTGTCTTTCCTTCACCTTCTAACTCATAAAGAAAACACAAGAATAAACACCTTATATCAAACCAATTTTAGTATCTGTTATATGTTGGCTGATTACAAGCTGCTTTTTGCATGCATGTGTGTGTTTGTCATCTGAACTTATTGATTGTATACAGCTACAAATTAGGCTTTCTTTTCTTTTATTTGATGTGATTATTACTAATACATATCATCAGCCATTATATCACAATTGATATGACTTATACAATGTGTACAACACAAAGAAAAATGCAATGTAAGAAAAAAAATTAGCCTTGAAAATCAGCATTTAAAATCTTGGTTTGTGATAGCAATTACCTATTTCACATCATCAATCTAATTTGTGTTGATATTTTCTTCTCTTGCAAAAGAAACTTAATTGGAGGTAATTGCTTCATTTTCAACATTGCAAATTGTTCAAAAGCCAACATGTTAAATGCTGATTTCATTAGAGACAGGCCCTCCCATTTGGAAGATTGGCCCAAGGCAATTTTCATACACTCTAAATTTCTTCACATTTAGCTTGATGTCAGACTTAATTTATTTCTTTCATTAAAAAGTACCATGGGTAGAATAGCCAAAATGTTGTGATAAAACAACAGATGAGGATATTAGTTTATTCTGTACTGAATACACTATTCTGAAAATATACCTGAAAATTAGTCACATGAGGAAGCTGGATAAGAATATTAATTTTAATTGAAGATAGTTGTGAACGTGTATCATTTACATGCAATTCTAATCTACCTGTAATTGGCTAGTAAGACAAACCTTTCACTGCTGTCTTTGTCTTTTTCACTCCTCATATTTTTTATTTTTTCCCAGCCTTCAACTTTTAACTCTGTTTCCTTCTTTGACTTGACTTCAGCTTCCATCTGTATCTCTCTCTTTGCTCCGCATTCCCACACTCTCTCTGTCTGCACTCCGCGTTCCCACACTCTCTCTGTCTGCACTCCGCGTTCCCACACTCTCTCTGTCTGCACTCCGCGTTCCCACACTCTCTCTGTCTGCACTCCGCGTTCCCACACTCTCTCTGTCTGCACTCCGCGTTCCCACACTCTCTCTGTCTGCACTGCCCCCCTCTCTCTGTCTGCACTCCTTTTCCCACCCTCTCTCTGTCTGCACTCCTGCGTTCCCCACTCTCTCTGTCTGCACTCCGTTCCCCTCTCTCTGTCTCTCCCTGTCTGCACTCCGCGTTCCCACACTCTCTCTGTCTGCCTCCGCGTTCCCCCCTCTCTCTGTCTCTCCAGCGTTCCCCCTCTCTCTGTCTGCCTCCGCGTTCCCACTCTCTCTGTCTGCACTCCAGCGTTCCCCCTCTCTCTGTCTGCACTCCGTTCCCACCTCTCTCTGTCTCTCTGTTCCCCCTCTCTGTCTGCCTCGTCCCCCTCTCTCTGTCTGCACTCCGCGTTCCCCTCTCTCTGTCTGCACTCCGCGTTCCCTCTCTCTGTCTGCCTCCGTTCCCCACTCTCTCTGTCTGCCTCCAGCGTTCCCCCCTCTCTCTGTCTGCACTCCAGCGTTCCCCACTCTCTCTGTCTGCCTCCGCGTTCCCACCTCTCTCTGTCTGCACTCCAGCGTTCCCACCTCTCTCTGTCTGCCTCCGCGTTCCCCCTCTCTCTCTGTGCACTCCAGCGTTCCACTCTCTCTGTCTCCGCGTTCCCCTCTCTCTGTCTGCACTCCCGTTCCCTCTCTCTCTCTGCACTCCGCGTTCCCTCTCTCTGTTCCCACCTCTCTCTGTCTGCACTCCAGTTCCCCACTCTCTCTGTCTGCCTTCACACACAGTTTCTCTTTGTCTCTTACTATTCCTACTGTTTTTTTCCACTCTCATCTCTTTTTTTCACCAATCACTGATTTTTTTTTTTTTTTTTTTTTTTAAATTTTTGTAATATTTCTTGCCTCAATTTGCATTGGACAAATCAACTTTCTATTTCTTGATTGAATAGGAACTACATTTGCTGCTCTTTTTTTCTACTCTTAAGTAGATGGTGGAGCTTTTTTTTTTTTCCTTTTTCTCTCTTACAATCCATCTCCAAAATTATTAAGACAACTTTGTTTACTTTTTTTCTCAGTTTCAGACCCTTTAAATGATTTTCTGACTCCATCATGTATTGCATGCAGATTAAAATTGCGACAAGCCCTATTATTAAGAACCCGCCCCACCTCATATTAGACACCTCTGAGTCTTTGATTGCCTATGAATTAACTCAGCTTAACTTTGATTCTTAACATGTTGTGTTACTTCAACAATTTAGTTGATCCAGTGTTCAAACTTATTTCAGTATAAAATGGAGGACTCTTTTCTACTCTGCTTTCTATTTTCTTTTCACATCCAATACTGTAAAGCAAAAGAAAGTGTTGGCAAATTGATTGGAACAGATGGAATTTTCACCTAAGTAACACTGAAGAACAGACTGATAATGATATTTCAAAATTAAAGAATTTTCTTTTTTTTCCTTTTCAAAAAAATTGACAAAGAATCAAGTGGAATTTATTTCGTTTTTCTTTTTTTTATCTTTCTAGGTTACAAGAAATTCTCAGCCAGAACAATTCCAAGACACTGAGAAGAATGATTCTTGCAAAAGAATTAAATGAAATTGAGCTTAAATCAAGTCTCATGTTTTCTTGTAAGAATGGCCTTGCAGACATTACTGCCACCATTTTAGAAGCTGGCACTTCACCAAATACACTGAGTGCTGATGAACTTACACCTTTGACTATCGCTGCTAGGCATGGCCAGTCTGTGATTGTTGATTTACTCATTCGATGGGACTGTGCTGTTGACCTGAATGTGGGACCACAGCAAAACACAGCTTTGCATTATAGTGCCTCTGAGAATCATTTTGAATGCTGCCAATCACTCCTGGAAGCTGGTGCCTCCGTAAACTCCCAGAATGCAATAAACAACACTTCAATTATCTTGGCTGCTAGCAATGGCCATAACAACATTGTTCAACTTTTACTCAAATGGAATGCATCAGTACGTCAGGGTGGGTCACATGATGCCAGTGCCCTGCATATGGCTGCTGCAAATGGTCATGTGAATTGCTGCCATAGTTTATTACTCGCCAAAGCTGACATAGAAAGTGAGGATACTTTTGGCAATACTCCCTTGATGTGTGCAGCTGAGAAGGGTCATTACAATGTGATGGCACTTCTCCTGAACCGCAGCTGCGATGTTAATCACATGAGCCACAGTGCAGTCACAGCTCTCCACCTTACTGCGCAACATGGTGATGTTGAATGTGCAATGTTCCTGCTCGACTGCGGTGCAGAGATTGACGCACAGGATATCCGACGGTTTACTCCCCTGATGATGGCCTCTCTGAATGGACACGAACGAGTTGTGGATCTACTTACGCGGCGCAAATGCAATGTCAACATGGTGGCATATAACAAGCGAACTGCACTGCATATGGCTGCAGAAAGGGGAAAGCTGAACTGTTGCAAGCTTTTACTTGAAGCCAAGTCAGCTATAAATGCACAAGACGTTCTTGGTTGCACACCCATTCACGTAGCAGCTAGCAAGGGTCACATAGATATAATCAAGTTTTTGATTGACCAAGGAGCTGATATACATATGAAGACTGTGGGTGGGGACACGCTGTTGCATTTTGCTGCAGCAGGAGGCAGTGTTGAGTGCTGCAAGTTGCTCTTGCAGCATGGCTTTGACATTAATGCACAGAACTATGACTGTATCACGCCACTAGTGAATGCTGTCAAGCACCAGCAGATATCTACAAGCAAGTTACTTCTGGAGGAAGGCTGCAAACTTAATCATCGTGGTCTGCATGGAATGACTGCTCTTAACGAAGCTGTCTTTTATAACAACTTCCAGCTTGTAGTGATGCTGCTGCAATATGGCGCCGATCCAGATATTGAAGATGCGGTTGGTACATTGCCACTCTGGTTTGCCATCGACAATGTGAACCTTGATATGGCCAAAGTTCTGTTACTTGCCAATGCTCGAATGAATGAAGCTTCAAGCTTTCTGGATGCCTGTGCTCCTTGTAGCCCTCTTGAGCATGTGCTTCACCAACAGAAAGAAACTCTGATCATTTGGCTGGCAAAAGCTTATTGTGAGAAGGCCCTCAACGCTTTTCGGAACCACTTGGATGTTTTGCGCAAGATGCCTTCAGTGAATGAGGACACTATTGATATGGTGCAAGAACTCTCATGTACTACCCGGCCTCTTATGGAACACTGCCGTCAGTGTATCCGAAAGACTTTTGGTAAAGGTGCTAGGGTTTCAAATGAGATTCAAAGACTTGAGATTCCAGTGAGCATTAAGAATTATTTGTTGTATAGTGACTTTGATGGCTTGTAGCTCTTGCCTGCTTAAAAACCTGGACTTCCTTTTTCTAACAAAAACATTAAACAAAAAAAAAAAAAAAAAAAAATTTAAAAAGAAAATTACTAAACAGAAAAAGTATTTCACTAAGAACACCAACCCAACTAAATGATCGACAAAATGTTTATTCCAAGAATATGATTTTTTTTTTGATTTTTTTTTTTGTTAGATGAATTCATTTTTTTGTTGCTTTTGTTATATCTATGTTGATCCATTCTACAGCCTTCTGCACATGTGCAATCCATAGACTGGTGTGAACAAAATATTGTGTTAACAACAAATGCAAAAAAAAAAAAAATAGAACCGAGATCAATCATCGAAACAATTCTTGGAATGATTAATAGACTCCTTTTTAAAAAAAAGTAATACGATTCCGTGTTAAAAAATAACTGTATTTTGAAAATAAGTTTTTTTTTTTTTTTTTTTTTTTTTTCCCTCCCCAAGAAAAGACAATGGGGAGGTGCTTTTGGATAATCCACCCCACTAATAATGTGAATATACTTTAAAACTTTTGAAAGTTTTTTTTTGAGGTTACCCCACCAAACTCACTTAGAGAAAAAAAAAAATAAATAAAATAATGCTGATTTAATAAAATAAATATTTATTAAAGTAGAAAACAGGTTTAACAGAAAAGCCTGTATTTTATCAAATTTGGCAGTCAGTTGCCCATTCCATCACCTTTCTTAAATTTAACTCTGACCTTCTCTATCCTTAAGATAGATCCAACAAAGCGAACATCTCTATATTTTTCACTTTTATAAAAAAACAAATTATCGTATAAAAGTATCCACAGAATTTGTTTGTGGAAAATTGGCCTTTGCAAGCATGTACTGTCACTTTTACCATTCAGCCATCTCAGTAACTTAGGTTAGGCTCTATATTCTATTCTTCAAATGACTAATTTGCTTTAGTATGACAGTTGTCCTGAACATTATGCCTGTCAAGTCATAACTTCTTTATTAACAATGAGACAACTCCCTTATTAACAACATGAGACATTGGCAATTAAATCCATATGTATAGTAATTTTGTCTTGAGCATGTTATTATTCAAAATGATTTTCACTTGTAGCGATGCATTTGTGCCACCTTTAAACTCAATTTGGAAGGGGTGGGGGGAAAAAAAAAAAACTATTTTGGGTATTCCTTGGTTTAGTGCTTGGCCATCCACAATGTAATTTTTCTTCAATATTTGTTTCGAATCCTTTAAATTTTTTTTTTCTGCCCATATTTGCACGTTCCTCTTATCAGACATTGCCTTACACATTTCTATCAGCAGCTGAATGTCCTTTCATGAATGATTATATCACAACTTTTTGTTTCTGCTTTATATCTGTAGTTATACAACATCTGGGGGGGGACATGTCAGTTGTGCTCTATCTGCAGGGGGGAAAAATGTAAAATTTCGATAGTTTTGGAGAAAATGATATACATGCATTACTTTTAAGGCAACCCTTGTACTTGTCAATGAATGAAGCCTGAAGCTTTCAGGATGCCTTTGTTCCTTGTGGTCCTCGAACACGTGCTTCACCAACAGAAAGAAAGTCTGATCATTTCACCGACAAAAACTTATACACAATTTTGATAAACTTTACCAAAAAAGTATTTCTGTAACATCAAAATGGCTATTAATGCTATTAAAAGCTTAAAGTGTATTCACAGGAGTTATAAAATTATATACCTTTTTTTTCTTTTCTTTTTCTTTTTTTTTTTTTTCTTTTTCTTTCTCTTTTTTTTTTTTTTCTTTTCCTTTCTTTTTCTTTTTTTTTTTTTTTTTTTTTTTTTTTTTTTCTTTTTTTTCCTTTCTGTCTCTTTTTTTTTTTTTTTTTTTTTTCCTTTCTGTCTCTTTTTTTTTTTTTTCCTTTCTGTCTCTCTTTTTTTTTTTCCTTTCTGTCTCTCTCTTTTTTTTTTTTCCTTTCTGTCTTTTTTTTTTTTTTTTTTTTTTTTTCTGTCTCTTTTTTTCTTTTTTTTTTTTTTTCTGTTCTCTCTCTCTCTTCTTTTTTTTTTTTCCTTTTCTGTCTCTCTTTTTTTTTTTTTTTTTTTTTTTGTCTCTCTCTTTTTTTTTTTTTTTTTTTTTTTTTTTTTTTTTTTTTTTTTTTTTTCTTTTTTTTTTTTTTTTTTTTTCCTTTCTGTCTCTTTTTTCCTCCATAAAATATTTTTTTTTACAAATCTGACCTGCTAACACACCCAGGAAATAAAGGAATAGGTTCTCCAAAAACTTTATAAATAAATAATCTAGCTACATCTTGCTATGTTGTGGCCTTATAGCAACCCGTATTTATATGGACATGTTATTATATTGCAAAAATCCTTTTTGTAAAGAAAAAAAACCTACTTTTGTGTTTAAGTGCTTACACTTTTGGAGAATCTTTTAAAAAAAAAAAAAAATTCATATTAATTTAAAATGTCCTATCTTAGATCTTTTCAATTTTTTCTCCTGTAACTCTTGATATTTGAAGTGCTTACAATGTCAGAAAGTTCCATCAGGTGTAGTGTAAGCAGTTTCCTTGTTTGGCACTGAATAGAAGTTAATCAAAATGTAATTCAGTCCTAACAAACTTTATTACTTCTCTCTTTTTTTTTTTTTTTTTTTTTTTTTTTCAAATTCTGAAACACAAATTCATGCCAGTTTTGACAACTCCTTCAAAGTTTGGCAAAATTCCACAAATCTAGCAATGATTTGGATGCCATTATTGTAATAGAAATACATTTATCCTTCTTTTGAATTTAATCTTTACATACATCACATGATTGGTAGAATAGATAATTCATAGCATTTAACATATATATATATATATTTGTGTATTTAGGCAGCAAATTTTCTTTTAGGTATGTCTGATTGAATAAATTACAGTCATTATGTCTGCTAATTATTAACAAAATCCGTTCATACTCACAAATAATCTTCCGTGTATTGATGTTAAAGGATGAGAGAAATGTGCTATAGCTGTTTAAATTTCTTTTATTTTCATTTCCCCAAGTACTTTCGATCTTCTTCAAGATCATTTTGTACTATTTGCACCCCGAAGATGATCTTGGAAGAAGATCGAAAGTACTTGGGAAATGAAAATAAAAGAAATTTAAACAGCTATAGCACATTTCTCTCGTCCGTTAACATCAATACACGGAAGATTATTTGTGACCATGAATGGATTTTTGTTAAAATTAGTAGACATTATGTCTGTAATTTATTCAATCACACACACATATATATATATATATATATATATATATATATATATATATATATATATATATATATATATATATTACGTGTAAAATTTGTTGGGTAGCTGATTGGTGTTACAGCATTCTGATTTCAGAGTTTTGTAGATGGACATGTTCATCCACTCTTCAGTGAGTATCAGCAATATGTGCATAAAAAAAAAAAAATCAAAAATATATGTAATAAATTGCTGATACCCTCTGAAGAGTCACCACTCGTCAGTGGGTATCGGCAATCAGACAGGTCAGCCTATGAAACTGGAGTTGGGATGCTGAAGCTAACATCAATCAGCTAAATGACAAACTTTGCTCACATTAATCCTGTTAATGCTCTCTTTGATATTGAGCAATTTATTACAAAGACTGCTTGCCTTAAATGTTTTTTTTTGGCTTTATACTATCTTTGACATTGCTATATATATATATATAACATGCCCTGGCAAATAGACAATTCATGTCTGTCATCATGATATATTGTATGCCATCAAAGAGTTAACTTTTTTTCCTGTCTGGAATAGGATTTAAACAATAAAGGATTATTTTTTTATTAACTAAAAAGAAAAATTTTAATAGTGTTTGAATTTAGACTTTTTTTTTTTTTTTTTTTTTTTTTAAATTTAATAAAAGAAAATATTATTTGGAGAACAAATTCCATTATGTCAACACCTGAAATGTGTATAAATATCTTGACTTTTGTCTATTTTTCTTGTTAAATGTTCAATATTAATTTTCTTTTGAACTAGTCTTTCTTTTATTTTTTTTTTTTTTTTTTTTTTTTTTATCAAAGAAAGCATATTCCAAAAATTAACAATAATGAAAAAGCTTCAAGAAATTGAAAAACTAGTACAGCTAATACTATGAGTATAAACATTCATCCTTGCTTTGAATATTGCTGCCACATGGTTTGATGCTGCTTCTATATATTTAGAGATTCTTGATAAAATCCAAAGAAGAATCTGCAATGTTTTTTCTCCTGACCTGGCATCTTGGCTTCCATACATTTTCCATTGCTGAAACGTAGCTTCCTTGTACCTTTTTCTGTAAATATTTTCATGGTAATTGTTCTGATGAAGTTTCCTCTATGGTACCTAGACTTTATGAATTTAAGAGCAGTGTTAGATTAGTGGCAGGGTCTCATCACTTTAGAGTTGAAATGGCTACATGTAACTGTAAATTCTATGCTAACAGTTTCTTCTCTCACATTTTTCACTTGTGGAACTCTCTTCCGGCTTCTAGCTTCCCAGTCAACTTTGATCTTCAATAATTTAAATGCAATGCCAATCGTTATCTTCTGTCTTCTTAATTCCTGTTCTTTTATTGTCCTCTCTCTTTAATAATTAATTTTTTCTCATTCTCTAACACTCTGACTCTTTTGCATCTTAGTGGCTTTATTGCCTTGCTTGGGGTGAAATGATTTAAAAAAAAAAAAAAAAAAAGAAAAAAGGCAGCCAAATAGCAATAGGAAAAATAATTTATTGAACAAATGCTTACTAGTAAAGCATTTGTAAGCAAATCATTAACACTGCTATCATAGAAAAATAGGCTCCCAAGGGAAAAGGATGTGAGTTCAAATCTGATTGCAGGCTTCATTATTTTCAATTCACACTGCTTATTTAATGGCTATAGAAGAATGAGTATTGAATTTTAATAAGACAAAGCAATACTACTCAAAATTTGGTAATAAAAATTTGGAAATTCATACACTATTAAATTTAATACTACTAATGTAAATAACAAGATAGTGATGTTTTC